GGCTGAGGGTTTAGGATTCGGATGTAGGGTTTAGGGGTGTGGGTTTAGGGTTTAGGGTTTTGGGTTTTGGGTTTAGGGTTTAGGGTTTAGGGTTTAGGGTTTAGGGTTTAGGGTTTAGGGTTAGAGTTTAGGATTCGAGGTTTAGGATGAAGGATTAGGGTTTAGGGTTTCGGGTGAAAGATTGGGGTTAAGGACTCAGTGTTTAGGGTTTGAGGTATGTTTTGCGGGAAAAGAATGCACACCTACCCATACAGTAACCTCAAACCCGAAACCCCCTGAACGCGAACCTTTAGGCGCCAGGCCCGTATGCTCTGAAGCTTTGAACTCCGCGAACATGAACCCCCAAAACACAACCCAAACAACAACGAAACCAAGAAGCCGTCGAGATCCTAAACCCTAAACCCTAAACCTCAAACCCTAAATCCTAAACCCTAAACCCCAAGTCCTAAACCCTGAGCCCCAAGCCCGACCCTAAACCCTGAACCCAAGCAAGCCATGTCTTGCTGTCTTGATCCGTCCGTGGGCTCCACATGCTTGCTGCGGCACCACGTCACTTTGAACACATCTCCCCAACTTCTGTAAGGATCACCAACCCTAAACCCTAAACGGTTAAACGCTAAACCCACCGAAAATCCACGTAGAGCGTTCCAACCTTGTCGTGCTGATCTTCAGTGCCCTCCTTAGCAAGAGCATCCTGCTACTGTTGATGGACAAAGTTCTGCATGACCCACATATGGTATAGTACCATAAATCCCATAGTTTAGGTATATAAGGTCATTCAGGATTTTGTCCATCAACCGTATGACTGTCATTGCTGTTGATAGAATAGCAAGAGAATCATCTTTCAACCGGTCGAGATGTTCCGACGCCTGAGTCGATCCTGTTTGAGTTTGGGTGGATCCATGTACCAACGAAAGGACGACTATATATATATATATATATATATGTATATGGGTAGTTGTCAAAATTATGGTCCCTTTTGGGGTACCCTAAATAATAGGTGCCGTATTAAAATAAGGACCCAAGAAAGGGACCAACATTTTGACAACCACCCCCATATATATATATACATACATATATATATATATATATAGGTCTGGGGCCTTCATGGTCTGGCTCTCCCATCTCTGGCTAGAGTGCCAGGAAGTCGGCAGCCTAAACCCTACGAGAAAACCCTAAGCAAATTCCTAAACCCTAAACCGTACTTGGAGGTTCATGGGACTTAACAAGTACAGTAATAAGTACCCCAATTGGGGTTATATGTACAGTTACCTTATTTATAACCCTAATTACTAAGTCCCATGAACCTTTAAGTAAAACACTACAGTCACTAAACTAAACCCTAAACCCTAAACCCTAAACCCTAAACCCTAAACCTGAACAGCCTTAATCCGTAAACCTATCGAAATTCGGGCCCAGGCCAGCGCGACAGATCGACGGTTGCCGGTGGCCGGGGCCTACTCGGAGGGTCCGGATGGGGCTCTAGGAGTTGGGTGGTTTTCCGAGTTTGGGTCCCTTTTTGGGTCCTTATTATAAGGGTGCCGTACTATGTTGGGGACCCAAAAAGGATCATATTTTAGAGAACTACCCATGTAGAGTGTAGGGTCTAGGGGGACATAGGAAGTAGTTGGTTGAAAGACGTATAAGTATCATGACCCCAATTCGGAAGGGTACTGAACCCTAAACCCTAAACCCTAAACCCTACTTATTACCTACTCCAAGGAGACCATAGGGCTTGGAGGTTTAAGGTTTAGGGGTTTAGGGGTTTAGGGGTTCATTAGGGTTTAGGGTTTCGGATGGCTCAAGGTTTGAGAGGATCCTTCGCAAGAGGAGGAGGAGGAGGGCGACGACTCTTTGAGCAACCCTAATGATGCCGCGAAGCATACTTGGAGGTTCATGGGCAGTTATAACTGGGGTTATAAGTAGGGTAACTGTGATTATAACCCATATTAGGGGACTTATATCTCCACTTATAAACTACCCATGAACCTCCAAGTACCAGTCAAAGTGAGCAGTGCTCAGCATGGGTTACTTCTAGAAGCAGTGGCTTTCATGAGGATTTCCATCGCTGGAGGGCGACGGACCTGCGCTGGAGACAGCTGCTTGGCAAGTCCTGAAGTCTGTCAGGCATTTTTAAAGTTTTCCAGGGTTTGGGGTCTAGGGTTTAGGAGTAGGAGCCGTGTCTGCTTTTTTGTTTGCATAGTGCGTAAGTATGTTGGCATTCAGATGCGCTTGCTCGAGCGATGTCCGAAGCCGCACAAACAACGCCACTCATCATGCGGTTCCTCGCAAGCTGAACGCCAAAGAAGCCAGACTCGATTCGTTGAAGGTTTTTTAGGTTCACGCTTTCGAGCCTCGGGCTTTGGCTGAGAGGTCGAAGTACAATCCTGGAACGTCGCTCATTGGTGTTTTCTCTGTCCCTCGCTCTCTCTCTCTCTCTCTCTCCCTCGCCGTGTTTTCGCTGTCTCTCCCTGCTTCTATTGTATACTGCCTTGAGTCCTCGTTCTGCTTCCATCTGTCCTTGTCAACAGGGTGGCACAGGGTTGCCACAAACCTGCAGCGGTCTAGAACCACCCTGAACCCGAAGCCTCAAACCCTAAAGCCTAAATCCGAAGCCTCAAACCCTAAACCCTAAACCTCAAACCCTCAAGCCCTAAACCCTAAACCCGAAGCTTCAAACCTGGAAATGTAATAGGGAGCTCGTAGGATCATATAGGTAGTTACTGAGGCTTCTATATTAGGGTCAGATACGGTTTAGGGTTTAGGGGGGGTCTTCCAATCCCCAAGCCAGGTTCGCACGACTGCACTTGGCAGCTCGGGCGCTGTTCTCGCCTGAGCAGCTACAAGCACTGGAGGCGCCTTGTTGTTTCACAGGGCCCTTGTAGTGCTTTGTACTGGTAGCGTTTGGGGTTTAGGGTTTAGCGACCATTATCTAGAAGGGGTCAGTACCGGCAACGTCAGTGGTGCTCAGATGGTCAGCCCAACACCCTAAACCCCGAAAGCCCACAACTCCTAAACCCCTGGAGCCCTAAACCCCTAAACGCTACAGTTGTGCTCGGTTTCGTCGTCTTTTGTTGCATCTTCTGGTTCCAAGCTTCGGAGCTGCTGTCGCATATTGGCGTTTGGGGGTTTGGGTTTAGGGGTTAGGGTTTAGGGTTTAGGGTATACTATAAATATCATGAGGCATTCCCAAAAGAGTATTGGTAATCTTTTCGTCCCCTTTTTTTGGCTTGTTGGGGTTTGGGAAGCTCGTTGGCTCTTCGTGTTCGCACTTTGGTTTAGGGGTTTAGGGTTTAGCCCTCAAGCCGGACGGTGTGCCGTAGAACAGTCGTGTGATGCTGCCGTTTAGGCCGCAAACGCTGCGCGCCCTCCGCGCGAAAGCGCCTCCGCAATGTAGGGCCATGGTCTAATGCATTCTGAGAAGAGAGCATCCGTGGCCCAACCATGCAACCATGATGACATGTATGGTGTAATGCGTTCTGAAAAGAGAGCATGTGCTCCTGTGCCGCTTGTTATGGAAGCTGGATGACCATCTTACGCGTTCTTGTTGGTTTCACAAAAGTTTTCCGTTCCATCATGCGAGTATATACGAATTACGTTTTGTGTGTCAGGGGTTGCACTGTGGCGAATCACAACAGCTGATTGCGAAGGTGTGCAGTATTGCCGGGTCTCAGCCAGAGCTATCATTGCCACGACTTCTGCCCGGCACCCCACTCGAAAGGTAGTACACTGGGGTGATATTTTTTAACACACTCTCATCCTGACATAGGAGCCTCTGTCTGCCAAAGCAGCCTCGATTTATATGGGTGGTTGTCAAAATTATGGTCCCTTTTTGGGTCCTTATTATAATACGGCACCTATTATTTAGGGTACCCCAGAAGGGACCATAATTTTGACAACTACTTATATGGTATTTACAGGGGCTTTGTCCTTCTGCACATGCTTCGTTTTGTAGAAGCGCGGCAAGACGCGCGGTTGGAGCGTTTAGGGTTTCAGGGAGTTTAGGGGTGTAGGGTTTCGGGTTTAGGGGTTTGGGGGTTTAAGGCTTAGGAGCACTGAGTCCCGGTAAACGGAGCTAAACCCTAAACCCTAAACCGCAAGCTCCAAAGCGTGAACTCCCAGATCCCAGACTCCGAACTCCGAGCCCCGGGTTTAGGGTTTAGGGTTTAGAAGCGTAACCAGGGTTTGGGTGTAGGTTTTAGGGTTTGGGTCGTAGGGTCCAGAGAAAACCTTGAACCCAAGAAGCCCTTAACCTAATGCCTCACACCGCCCAAACCTGAAGCCGCAAATCTCAGATCCCCAACCTCAAACTCAACCGTAAACCCTACACCCTACACCCTACACCCTGAACCCTAAAACCTTACCTCCCAAGCTTAGAGGTCGGCACAGTGGCAGACTCCCTGATGAGGGGCGTGCCTCAGTCTCCGGGCAGCAGCTAGGATCAGCCAGGAGTCGACAAACGAGCGTGGGAGGCACTCTCGCATAGATTTGTCGATCTATCTATGCCTACCTTGGCTTACCATAACCTACCTTTTTGTAGGTTCTTATTACAAACCCTGGCCTAAACCACTAAACCCCTAAACTCTAAACCCCTCAGCCCCTAAACCCCCACACCCCTAAACCCCTCAACCCCTAAACCCCTAAACCCCTAAATCCTAGACCCGCACGCTCCTAAACCCTCAAACCTAAACCCTAAACCCTAAACCCTAAACCCTAAACCCTAAACCCTCAAGGTTCGCTCTGGAGGGGCCTGCAGCAAACTCCCCGGAGCGGATCCCAGAGCCGACGGAGCCTCGTTACGAGGCCAGTTACGGTTTAGGGTTTAGGGTTTAGGGTTTAGGGTTCTGAGTTTAAGGGCTGAAGGTGTTTAGGAGTGTAGGGGTTTAAGGGGGTGTCAGGAGAGTCATAACCCTAAACCCTTTACCCTGAATCGTTAGGGGTTTGGGGCTTAATTGGAGGGTTTTTGAATCTACCAGATCTGAGACCTGGGTTTGGGGTTTAGGGCCTCCGCAACCGCCCGCAACCACCGAACCCGGTCTCAGGGGGGGTTGGCTCGCCGCTTCGTGGACGAGGACACGCGCTTGCACCAGGCGCTTGGACGCAGTCGCAGTTGGCGCTTTAGGGTTTAGGGTTAGGGTTAGGGTTTAGGGTTTAGGGTTTAGGGTTTAGGGTTTAGGGTTTAGGGTTTAGGGTTTAGGGTTTAGGGTTCCGGTCTAGGGTTCATGCTTAGCGGGTGCAGGAGCATTTGCTTTCCGCACTATGTACCCATATCCTGGACCCTAAACCCCAAACCCAAAACCTTAAGGTC